ACCCAACATTTCCCAAGTTTATTTAACCTTAGAATCTTGCATGTGACTGATGATAACAGCATTATTTATAGAACCCAGACATCTGCACCTCCTGAATGAGTGAGGGGGTGGGTCGATTTTTACATATACCACTTTATATCTCTTTGCAATTGAATGTTACTTGGCCATTCAAAAAGCATTTTATGCAGTACACGCTACAACATTAATGACTCTTTTTCCACCAATTTTTATTTATCTATACCATGAGTGAATCTTGTGAATACTAAGTGAAAAAAGCCAGAAAGAAGTCTTCCCTCCCCTCCCCTCTCCCCTCCCCTTCCCTCTCCTCCCCTTCCCTGCCCTTCCCTTCCCTTCCCTTCCCTTCCCTTCCCTTCCCTTCCCTTCCCTTCCCTGCCCTTCCCTCCTCTTCCCTGCCCTTCCCTTCCCTTTCTTTCCCTTTTCTCCTTCTCCTTCTTCCTTTTTTTTGGTACCGAGAATCAAACTCAGGACCTTGCCAGGCAGCAGCGCACTGCCGAGCTAAATCACTGAGAGGGCACATTTTGTGGTACATGATTTATGTGTCAGTATACTGTTATTAAAATGTAAATGGAGGCTGTAGCAGCCACTGAGGGCAGTGAAGATGGCTCGGTGGGGGTAGGAAGAGGAGTGAGCCGAGGAGCCCCAGGAGTGATGTTACTGACGGGTGCAGGCTGCGAGGGCTGCAACTCTTAGCAGGCTGGGCTGGGGGCTCCAGGCCGGGGTTTCCCCAAGCTGTGGGCAGCTTCACCGAGATGGAAGGACACTAAAGGACACAGTCCATGAGCCTGTCGCCACTGGCGTCACCTGTAGTGGCAGGATGGCTAAAGCGGTGCGCAATCCGGTGGCCTTGCCTGGGCTTTTCCTAACTCACATTTTTTATGCTGTCACTGTGCTGTCGCCCTGACCCAGCGAAGGTTCCCTGCAGGGAGCCAGCAGACCTGTCCTCACCTGCAGAACTGGCTTCTTGCTGGCCTCATGTGAGGCCCTCGGAGGCCGCCTCTACCGGGAGGAAGGCCCGGAGGACCCGGGATGGTACAGCCCGGGCAGGCAGCTCGGGTTACGTGTTTGGGAAGGTACGCTGTTTTAGATTATCTTTTTTATTCATCCATTTATGCTTTTGGTAAAGAAATCCATTGGCAGATATTGTGGAAATGAAAGAGAAAGAAAGTGCTCGAAAGGAAAGAACCCCTGGCAGAGGGAAAAGGAGACAAGAAAGAAGGGAAAAGATTAGATACGTGTGTATGTGAACATGCACAAGCTAGATGACTGTACTAATCTCTGTCCGCATTGTCCGACTGATCATTTTTTATGCCTGAATCTGGTAATCTGAACAACTGCCTTCAAGATAACAATATGCAACATATTAACTAGTGTTCATTTCCTATTTCTTTTTCTTTAAATTATATGTCGTTTTTATCCTTTTTTGTTTTTAAAATTAAAAAATATGTAAACATTAAAAAAATCTATTGGCTTCCTCTCTTATCTCTTCCCAGTGGCAAATCTCGTCTTCTTTTTGCCTTTCTAAGGAACAGGCCTTTGGAACGGGTCTCCTTCGCACCCGTCTTAAGTGGGGAGCCCTTCTTCCCCAGTGCCGAGCACAGCCACCCCGGGCCCAGGATGGTGTGGGTGCAGTCCGCAGCACAGTCTGCCTGTGCTCTCCCAGGCTGGGGCTGCGGGCTCTCCTGAGGGGTTCACCACCGAGGCGGGCTCACAGGAGGAGTCAGTGCCGTGACAATGGGCACGCTGACATCTTACCTTTGCAGGACTCTTTCCAAAGACCTCTATGTGCGGCTGAGACTTATCAGGCATTTGAAAAACTGCTTCTAAAGAGCACTGTTTCTAAAAGAGCCCAGCGCCTGGCATTCACAGAGGTCTCTTATTACAAGGTCCTCAGATAGCTCGGGCAGGAGGAGGGCGACTTGGTGTGTTGTAAGCACTCCAGGCAGCCTCAGGGAGGCAGGCGAGGCGTGCAGACTGCTGTCCCAGTGAGTTTTGAGCCCTGGGGCCCGCGTGCCAGGAGGGCCGTCTGCTGCCAGGTGTGGGTCAGGTTCCACAGTGGCTGCAGGCCCGGCCTGCGTCACTGGGCAGTCGCTGAATTTCTGGAGATTGTCTCATCAGGTTGTTTGATTGCTTCCCTCCCTTCCTAAAGAGTGAGGGCCCTGCACAGGGTAAAATTTGGCACGGCATGCAGTTATATAAATACTAAGGTTTAAGGTCTTGCTAACCTGTTACGGAGTTGTGGCATTTACACATAGCACCCTGTTTTCTTACTATAATTCCCTTGGTTAATTAATTTCTCCATTGCTTATGCAGGTCTTCATAATGGAGAATCCCCGAGTCTGACATACGGAGGAGACTGTGCTTTCTATATATTACTTAAAATGGTATGTGGCCTAGGGCTGCGTCTCAGTGCTAGAACGCTTGCCTAGTGTGTGTGAGGCCCTGGGTTCAATCCCCAGCACCAGAAAAAAAACTATCTATCTACACTTAGATCTATGAGTAGTATATCTATGTCTATCATAAAAACAACATCATCACTGTATAACAACTCTGAGAAGAGGAAAATTCCATCAGTACAACAGTGGTTTTATGACTACACCTGCTCTCTAGATAGATGGACAGACAGACACACAGATATCTGGAACCACAGTCATATATACAAATATGAACCTCGCTTTTCCTCTTGGAAGTGTTTTCTGTCCTGGTAAATGCCGTTGGTATCTGTCCTGTAGAACGCAATTATTCAGTGGTGTAAGTGCTTAGCACTGTGGCTGCTTATTGGTGTCAAAAACCGGAGGCCGTGTTGTTGCAGAATGATTATAATACTTGGCATGAGTTTTCCGTAGTGGTTCCTTCTCCTGTGGCTGCCTCTCGTCCAGCTCACTGCTGTCTGTCTGTGGAACCCTCAGCCCTCAAGTCTCGCTCCTGCCCTAGCGTTGGGTGTAGGAGCTAATTTAGGGGGTAGAAGGTGGGCTCTCATTGTGTGGGCTCCCACTATTTAATAACTCCCGGTGCTGAACTTTTGGTTGTTTCCTAACAATGTCTACTTATTTGTTAGAATTACTTAACATTTTCTTACAGCATTACCTGGGCTCCTTAAAAAGATATTAATTCTTTGTCAATCAGGCTGCAAATATTCTTTTTCTGAATATTCTCTTTTTTTGGCTATGAGTTGTTTTTTAAAAGTTCACACGCACAACATGAACTCTCTTTTTATTGTGTCTATCACAGGGGATGCTCTCATCATCCTTGCCAGGGATGTGGTGGACCCCGAAGATTGGGGTTTCAGAGGTGGCAGAATCTGGTGTGTCACTGATCCACCACGCAGGGGTGCCAGGACTCAGGGTGCTGGGGTTAAGGGCGGGTGACCGCTGGGTCAGTCCACTCCTTGGGTTCGCACCGCCCTAATCCCAGTAGACTGGATACCACCTAAGGGACAGAAAGAGCTTGTCTCCTCTTCTCTTGCTTTTGCTGTCTTCTGGCTGCCATGAACCGTTTCTCCTCTGGGCTGTCCCTCTGCCAAGCCACCCTGCCTTGGAGCCAGCCCGTTATGGACTGAAACCTCTACCGACATGCACTAAATAAATCTTTCCCCCTTTAACTTTAGATGTCAGGGTTTTTTGTCTCATCAATGAGAAAAGTAATGGAGACATGTGGGCTCCTAACATAGTGGACACACATGTCTTTCATGGTGAAATGTCATTTATTTGTGACCAGAATTAAGTGCAAAATACACAGATTCTCCATAGACCCAGCGAACATGTCCCTTGATTTAGGAAAACGAGGTAGACAAGAAGGACATGGACAAAATTATTGCTTGAATTGTATCACAGGTTGTCCGTTTAGCTCCGAGTGGCTGCCAACTTACAGAGAGTCTCTGTCTTTCCCTCCACAACTGCTGTCCCTAGGAATACTACAGATGTTTACTGACAGCTCTATGGTCCACTCGGCACAAGGCCTCAGCTGAGTTCCCAGGAGCCCTCTGCATTCCCTAGTCTTGTTCCTTCAAGGAGGCAGCAGTCCTCGTAAGATCTGGGGATTAGCCAGGCACGGTGGTACCGCTGGTAATCCCAGCACTAGGAGGCTGAGACAGAGGGTTGCTGCAAGTTTGAGGCCAGCCTAGGCTACAATAGTGAGTTCAGCGGCAGGCTGACCTTGTCTCAAAAAACCAAAAAAGGGTCGGGGATATAGCTCAGTGGTATAATGCCTGCCTAGTAAACATGAGACCCCGAGTTCAATTCCAGTTCCAAAAATAAACAGTAAGTTGACTAATTTCAGGGCTGGGGATTTAGCTCAGTGGCATAAACACCTCCTGTACCAAAACAAAACACCCCCAAGAAAACAAAACGACAACAAAAGATTTGGGGCTCACGGATGTGAGCGTCATGAGGGTAACAGTGCTAGGCACCTACCTTCTCACCAGTCCGTGAAAGCTAATTTTTGTCCCCAGCACTGAGCCATCCCACCCGGGATTCTGCGTTGCTACCCTCAGGAGCCTTGCATGTGTGTCCCTGCCATAGTGACACGGTGACAAACTAGAGAAGCCTCAGGCATGGCAGAGGAAGACAGGGAGGGCACCCTGGCCAGACGTTGGGGTGGAGATCACGCTGCCGTTCTTCCTGGAGGAAGCGTGTGTCTGTCTTAGGGCGACGGCTGGAGTTGTAGTGGGAGTCTGGCGTGGCATAAAGACAAGCAAGGGCCTCGGCACAGAGTGGCCCTGTGGGAAGAAGGAACAGCAGCCCAAGTACAACGGGAGACCGTCCACTGACGGAGTGTCCTCGGAGTCCCTTTCAACCCTGACCTTCCACTGCCCTTACCGGTAGCTGGCTTCCTTTCCTGCTGTCCGCTCTCGTCAACATCTACACGGGGGTCTTTAGCGGAGCCCTGATGGGGGTGTCAGGGAGGGAGAGCAGGCCTGCCCGGGGGCTTCACACTGCTGTGGCAAAGATGTTGGCACACAAAGCATCTCACTGGCTTCGGAATCTAGATCTATAAATATATTTATTATAATATAACAAGAACTTAACAATAAACGTATACTATGTACAATACCATTACAGAGAACCCTGTTTTATCATTCACAGAAATAGCCAGTTTTGCTCCAGTGTGATAGATGAGGAGAGAAACAGAATTTCAGTGTCATCTGTGGAGTCTTGGTGACTGCTAGCACCTCCCTTGGAGGCAGACACACACCAATGCGGACGTTAGCCCTGCCCCAGGCAGTTAGGATTTGTGCTCCAGTCCTTGGGTTCACACTTGCACCCTGTTTGACATAAATACTTTAAATGACATACAATGTATGTAGTTTTGTGCTTATTACTTTTTAAAATAATAAATAATATTAAAAACTGCATAACGTAGCTCGGTATCTTGTCCAAGTGGGAGCCACACTTGTAGTGCCAGAAGTCGTTGCCTGACCTTCGGCTGAGTTCTGTGTCAGCAAACACTGCCGAGTGGAAAGCGTGGTCTCTTCCTCCTCGGCGAGGGTTCCTCCCACGGAGTGACAGTGGCTGACTTCCCGACAGAAACGTGGTGTGTGTGTGTATTTGGTACCAACTTCAACTCAACAGCGCGGCCGTGGCCGCGACCTGCCTCCTGCCCTGGAATGGAAACTGGTGGCCGGCCGGGTGAGGTCTGAGGGGCTGGGGACTGGCGCCAAGCCTTCCCCCGGGAGCCTCGGGCGGTCCTCCTGGCTTCCCTCTCCTCGGGTTACTATGCACCTAGAAGAGGGCTTCTGCTCGCGCCCTGCAGGCCTGGCTGTCATGGCTGTCTAAGAAGGCTGTCCCGTCCTGAGAGCTCTTGTGGCAGGTGCCTAATATATAGCTATAAATATCAAAAATAGTCTCCTGTGCTCTGTAGCCGTTTCCTCTCCCTCCCTCACGCCATCCCTTCCCCTGGCCGAGGTCCTCCCTCCCTCCCTCCCGGAGGGGGCTCGCGGGGGTGCGGAGGCACAGCTGTGTCTTCTAGAACAGACCCTTCTTCCTCTGACGGGGCCTCGGCGAGGCACAGTCCCGGCTGGGCTGTCTGGGAGATACTTTTTCCAAAAATAAAGCGGGGGCATGGCCCACCCCAGGAGAGATCCTCTACTCTACACATAGAAAAACGAGAGCAAATGCCCCTCTGGCACTACCTGCAAAGAGCTTGGGATTTCCCACCACAGTATCCCTCTCATGGCCTCCACCTTCTCTCGGTACTGAAAAATAGCTTTTGTGTATCAAGAAAATGCCTTGGAAATCTAAATAATGCATATTGGATAAGAGAAAGCTAGCACAGCCATCTTGTCCTTCTCCGGCAAAAACAGGGTAGAAAACCCCCCGAAGGACGGCCGGCCTCTCCCCAGCGGTGCCCCCGACGGCTGCCCCTGGCTCTGCAGGGTCCGGCAGGGGCCAGCGGCCTCAGCCTTGCTGTGCAGTCCTGTCCCTCGTCTTCTCTTGGCCACTGAAAGTGTAGATTGATTAAAAAATGAAAGTAGGAATCAAAGTGGTAAGGACACTTTGATCTCATTCCCGAAGAGCCTGACGCTTAATATTGTCGTAAGGTAACTGATCGATGGCGGTTTAGGGATCAAGCTTGCTCTGCAGGAAGGGAGGAAACAGCTCCTCTCCGAGGTGAGGAATACCGGGCAGAGCGAGCGCCCTCCGCAGGAGCCTGTGGCACCCCAAGGCGAGGATGATTTTCTACATTCAATGTAGAGTACTCAAAATGTTCAGTGCAGTGAGTTCCTTGGTTGGGTTTCGTCGGCCTCTTACTGGTGTTGCTGAAAACTCATCGCTGTGCGTAGCGCTGGCCTCACCAGACGCGTCCCTGTCTTGTCGCGGGCTCCTTGCTGACGTCAGCCGCTCTGAATGTATTTCTTTATCACCACGCAGCCGTGTCTGAACACGGGGCAGGGCATGTGGGGAAGCAGGGTCCACGTGTTGGTCGTGGGCTCGTAGGCTTCCATGTTGCCCAGGGCAGGGCCCTCGCTGCTGACGATGCCTCCGGTGGCGTAGATCTTGCCATCGAGTACCACGGCACTGTTGGGGGAAACGGGCGGACACTGAGCCTCGAGCTCCTGCCCGGACTGGCAGGCGGACAGACTGCACCCTCTTGCAAAAGCCACGTGAGCCCTTCTCTGCCCTCTGGCCCAGACTAACTTGAAAGCCTGTCCTCCAGGGGCAACAAGCCACGTGCTTCCCTATTCTGCGCGCAGAAACACTGGTTTCCCTGGCTTCTCCGCCCTGCTGACCCTCCAGTGACACTGGCAGGACAGCCAACTCTTGCGTAGGCACCGGGCTCAGCCCACTGGCCCTTTATGGCCTTTTTGTGTCACACACACAGAGCCTTCCTTCTACTCAAGTCCAGCTGGGAACAGGACCCGTGAGCGTGCCAAGGGTCAGCACAGTGAGGCCCTCGCCTGACTGGACACGTGCAGACCGAGCATTCTCGCCCTGCCAACCTCCTGCTGTGTCCCTTCACCGTGTGTGCCCTGGGACTTTTCTGGCCCTCCCCCGTGGGGTCACTGTCACCCCGGTCAGCCCCTGCCGACAATGCCCAGCATCGTGCTGCTCTCTGCACTTACTCCCGAGGTCCAGGCCCTTGTCCATCCCTGCTCCGCAGTGGGTCCCTACGTCCTGCCAATCTCTGGAATTGGACGCCTGTTTCCAAAGTGCACACATTCGGACGCAGCCATGAGGCCTTGCAGAGACAGCGAGCGTCCAGCCTGCCCTCCCGCAGTCCCGGCCACCCAGGGCCCTCGCATGCTTCCCTGTGTGGCCAAGCTTCTCCGCGCACATCACAGTGCACATCTCCCCCTGACGTGCAGGCTTCCTCTCCTTACTTCAAACCAGGCCTGAGCCCCTCACACAGCGCTCGGTGCTCTGGCTGCCTTTATCAGTGAAAATGTAGTCAGGCTGCGGTCTGCACACTGCCACCATGAGACGTGACCACAGAAGGACAGCGGGACAGCTGCAGACACAGCCAGCAAGAACTCAGTAGGCAGAGGACCTCCCGGAGCAGGGAAGTTCCTGGCCCAAGGTCGCGTGAGGTGCCAGGAGCAGGGGTTACACCTTTCCTGCTGTGCTAACTGAACACCAAGCGCTGAGCTCCTTCTCTGTGCTCCTCCCACACTGGGACTTTGGCGGCTCCCTCTGCACAGGTGGCTTCAGGATGGGCCTGCTGTGCAGTGTTGGTGACGGGGTAGCCAGAGCCCTCTCCTCTTCCTTGTCCTCCTGGTCAGTGAAGGACAATGCGGGAGAGCAGGGGCTCGTGTCTCACGGACACTGCACTGTGTCCTCTACTCCCTGCCCTGCGGGACAGGGCCCGATGCTCCCGCCCACTCAGCCGCTGAGACAGCAGAGCAGCCGAGCCTTGCGCTCCTCATGGGCCAGGTCCCTCAGGGCCACAGGGATCGTGTGAGCATCCCCCGGCATGTTGCTCTGGGGCCCTGAGCATCCCCCAAGAAGTCTCGTGTCCCCGCACGGCTATGGCAGGAGGTCCCGAGCTGGCCCTGCCCTCACCTCTCGCTGTACAATGATGGCCTTGAGGGCCCCAGGAGCCACTTCGCTCCCAGCAGGAGCTGAGAGTGGGGCTCCTGGCCACCACTCCACCCTCTGCACCCGTCCCTGTGATCACGTCTCCCTGGGGCATCCCCACCCCTTCCCCAGCCCCTCACCTGCAGAACTGGCGAGAATGATTCATGTTCGGGCCTGCCTTGATGTTCCCTTTGTCGGGGTCGTAGATGGTGGTGGCCCTGGCGTAAGCCCCGCCCAGGATGAACACGAAGCCGTTGAGGGTGACTGCAGGCGCGTACTTGTTGTCTGTGAGGACAGCAGGGTGGGTGTCAGGGCGTGTGGACTGGCCTTCCCTCCCCTTTCTTTCCAGCACCCCTTCCCCGGGAGCTGGGGAGGGCTCCGGCACGTTGCTCTGGGGCCCGAGGACAGGCGAGGGCAGGGTACCTGGAGCCGTGACCACCTTGCCTTTTTCCGTGTGCTACGAGGCTTGGGCTGCACCCCCTCTGCCCCCAGACCAAGTCTGCTGAGCTCCGGGGCTTAGCCGGGCTCTGCTCTGGGATGTGGAGGCTGAATGAACCCCTGAGGTGTGGGCTGTGCTGGCCCCGGGCTGAGGAAGCGGATGGTCCTCACCGATCATCGGGGACTCGATGAAGCTCCATGTGTTGGTCTGTGGCACGTATGACTGGAGGACGCCCGCGGCCCGGCCTGCTTCATTCACCCCGCCGAACACGTAGATTTTGCCGCCGCACACAGTGGCTGCAGCCGAGTGCACTGCCTTGGGCAGGGGGGCCACTGCCTCCCACTGGTTGGTGATGGTGTCGTACCTGTAGGAGGAGGAGTGGGGTTCATGAAGGGTCAGGGTCACAGGCGAGAGCCATCTGCTTCCCACCCGCCATGTGCCTGGTAGGATGAGTCCGTCCTGGCCTCCTGACCCTCAGGGGGCGCCTTTCCATCTGTCCAGTCTCTGTCGGGCTCTGCCTCCCAGCCTGGCTTTCAGGGTGCCTAGCTTCTGGTCTGTCGGCCCCCTCTCCAACTTAGTCCTGCCCTTCCTGTGGCAATGCCTCGCCAAGTGCCTGCTGTGTCCCAGGCTCTGCACTGGACCTGGTGAGATCAGGGTGAGCCAGCACCACGCCTGCCCCAGGGGAGCTGGTGGCCTTGTGGGAAGACACGAGATGGCCAACTGAGGCCAACTGAGGCAGGCAGGAACTGGTCACTGAATGGGATGGAAGTGGGTGGTGCCAAGGGGGGCCAGGTTACAGGCAGCAGGTCCCAGCCTGCTCTCCAGCCTGGGGATGCCAGTGAGGGCACAATGTGGGCACAGTGGCACCTGGCAGCATGTACAGCGGTTTGCAGAGGCCAAGGTTGGGGCAGATTAGGCGGGTACTGTGCCAGCTTGGAGACTGGGGCGGGGTACAGGGCAGACAGGGAGCCCTGAAGAGGTAAGCAGGGAAAACACGTGCTCAGTGCTGGACTGTGGGGCCCACAGTGCCTGCAGGACGAGGTGTGGTGAGTGAGGAGGCTGGGGAGCGGGAAGATGTTACAGGAAGCCGGAGGAGCAGTGTGGCTGCAGTGGCCCGGGCCAGGGGATGACAAGAACACAAGGAATGTGACGGGAGCGGGTGCTGAGAGGGTCCCAGCACTGCTGGCTGCTGGCGCTGAGGGGGACGGAGCCTGAGAGAGGGTGGTGGTGGCACTCTCCAGGGACAGGGGCCCAGGGCTGGGGGAGGAGGTGATGTCAGTTCTATGGAGTTTAGGGTTCCTGGGGGAGTGAGTGGGCAGGGGAGCACGTGAGTCTGGGCTGAGCAGTCAGCCGTGGGGTCCCCAGCAAGAAGAAACCAGAGCTGAGGCACAAACTCAGAAGTGGGGACAGCTGGGGTGGGGGCTGACATGGGCCCAGGAGGGGCAGCCCGTGAGTCGGGCAGCCCAGTCACACTCGCAAAGGCCAGAGGCTGCGAGAGTGCAGGACGCCAAGGGGGCACGGAGCCCCAAGCAGGTCACGGTGGTCCTGCGGTCAGTGCCATTGAGGGAGTAGCAGAGGCTCACGGCAGGGACTGGCGGTGGCAGGGTGGACTTTTTGGAGGGAACAGCTATAAAGAGGGGAGAAGGTGGCACCCGGGAAGGACATGGAGATGAGACGGGTCGGCGGGATGCTGAGAGGTGATTACCAGCCCCCTTCTGGAGGGAAAAGTCCTGGGTAGGGTCTCCTGGTCGCTGGGCTGTGATTCCTCCCTGCGCCGGACAGCCAGCTGCCAGGGAGGGCCATGACCGGGTGGGGGACACCGCAGCCACCCCTGCCTAGAACCTTCCTCAACAGCTCGAGGGCCACAGGAAGCCTCAGGAGCAGAGGGGAGGAAAGCAGACAGCTCGGGAGGGATGGCTGTGGGCACAAACTGCCCGTATCTCGTATCTGTAACAATGAGCACAGGACGTAACTTTTAGTGAGAACTGTGGCTGGCACCTGGCCTGAGCACTCCCGGAATGGGCAGCTGGCTCTCCTGGGCGCATCCTGGGCTTCGGCTTAATGGGGTGGGGAATTTTCATGCTGGACAGGGAAAGGCTGGCCCTCCAGCCCCACATACAGGAGATATTTGGGGAAAAATCATGTCCATTCTGAACATGTAGAAATGTTTTATCACTATTCCTTAAACAATGCAGTGTGAGAACTTTTTAAATATCATTTACATATCATTTACACTGTACTTTAATAATTAATGAGGAGGTGACTTAAAGTACTTAAATACACAAGAGGATATGTGTAGGTTATATGCAAATACTATGCTTTTTTTTTTCAAGTCCTGGGGATTGTACCCAGGGCTGCAGTCCTAAACTACATCCCCAGCTTTTTTTGGTTTTTATTTTGAGACAAGGTTTTTGCTAGGTTGCCCAGTCTGGGCTCAAACTTTTGAAGCCCCTGCCTCAGCCTCCCAGAGTGCTGGGATTACAGGTGTGTTACGATACCCGGTACGTGACATTTTATGCAAGGAACTTGACTAGATTGGGGTCCCTTTCCTCCCTGCATAGAAGAGATGACTAAATAGGAAAAAGAGGGGGAGCTGGGTGCTATGGCTTGCACCTGAATCCCGGAACCCAGGAAGCTGAGGCAGGAGGGTTGCTTAAGCCCAGGAGTTTAAGGGTAGCCCTGGAAAGACCTCATCTTTAAAAAAAAAGGTGGGGTGCTGCTGATGCCGTGAGCCTCCTGACAAGAGGAGGCCGCTCCATCACAGTGGAGGCAGCCTGAGAGGGGAGAAAGGCAGGAGGGCACATGTGCGGGCACTGGCCACAGTGCAGGAGGGGAGGCTCCTGAGTTCTTGACTGTCAGCCCCCTTTTCTTTGGGAAGGGGGGTCACTTGGCCAAGCAGGGGTGGGGTTGTGGGAGGCATGACAGACAGAGGTGAGGAAGAGAAATCAGCTCCTGACGGGGGAACAACCCAGAAGGACCGCCTTGCATCCTTGGGACCAGGCAGAGGGCGGAGGCTCCGGTGTGCAGCGGACAGGTCTGCAGGAGGGCGGATGTGGAGGGGCCCAGGGTCGGCAGAAAGGCTCTTCTGGACCTGCCGTGTAGGACACGACAGCAAGGCGAGAGGACAGAGGGATGTTGGAACAAGAATCCCAGATGAGAAGGGAGAAGAGGCTGCTGGGGACACTAAGCAGGCTGGCCAGGGCCGGGGACCCCTGTGGGCTCTCTCTGAGGGTTGGCACGGGCCCTTGGTCCTCGGCTTGGCTCCGAGTGGAGGCTGAGGTCCCTGGGAGGCAGCAGGGCTGTCCCTTTGGCTGCGGATACGGGGCTGACATGCACTGGAGTCAAGTGTCCTTCTGGGTAGTGTCAGAAGTCCACATGTCTATTTTTTTAGCAAATGTGGCACAGATCCAAAGAGCTCTTGCAGAAGGAGCCGGAGACAGAGGAAGAGTGCGTGGTGGTTAGTCCCCGGCCTTGCGGTACAATGGCACCTTGCTTCAAACAGATTTCCTGCGAGCCTGTTATTCCAGGTGGCTGATTGCCAGACCAGGGCCCTCCATCAGCTCATCTGTCAGCTTCCCGGGCCTTCCGGGGAGGGTATGCTAATGACATGCAAATGACCCCGCAGAGCAAGGCTCCGCTACCATTTATCCAGTAACCACAGCTCCCGCAATATATTACTATAAAATATTAGACCCGGTTATTTATATAATGATATAATACAGGTTTGTCTATGGCACTGTTGTTTCAATCTATAATTATATAATCTCGTTCTATTCCTGTAATACAGTAATGTAATATAATTATAATGCACCATATATTCCATTCATTATCAATATAATAGCGATTTGTATCATTAGTGCTTCCTGAGGAACAAAGTGTCCTCGTGTCTGTCCCCACGATGCAGACCTTCCTGTCACCCTGAATTCTCACACTGCTGCCATGGGCACAGACAGGCACCTACCCAGAGGGTCTCTGCTCCTTGGGAAGCAGGGGCTCTCCACACCTGTGAGCTCTTGACTCTCTGCTGTCCTGGCCCGTTCCTCTGTCCACTGGGGTTCCCAGGCTGCCCAGCCAGCAGGAAGGCTGAGCCTCCCCAGGGAGCTGTTGCAGGCAGCCCCAGACCTGCTCCAGGGCTCAGGAGAAGCGGAATGTGTCTCTACCTTCAGTGGCTACATTTGATCCTTGAACAAATCCCCACATTTATCAACAAGTATAAGTTTGCAAAATGAGTAATCAGTGTCTTAGGAGATTAAAAATAGCTGACAAAGGCAAGATAGGATGACAGATCCAGCTCAGTTTACTCCTACACAGAAAATGTCTCTGTCTTCACATGTTCATTATCAGGTTACAAATGGCTGGAAGCTGCTTTGGGAAGGCTCGGAGCATGTGGCAGGTCACCCTGAAGACCTCAATGCCGGGCTGGTCAGGGTCCAACGGCAGTATTAATGCCCTCGTAATCACGTAGGGATTCCCCATTATCTTCAGATCAACGTGACAATTAAATGTTGCTGCACAGCCATCTCTGGGCTCCACTTGGGGGAGTTAAGAGCCCATGATGAACATTCAGAGCCTGTCTCACCCGGAAACCATCACTGCTGTAACATTTGTCAAATGTCCAATTAGCTATGGGGTGCGGGGTATAAACCCAGGACTGCGTGGCATCACAGCAGGGGGGCGTGACAAGGGGCGGGCGGGCACAGGAAGGACGCGGCGGGAAGGGCTCCTGGGGCCAGGCCTCCCTCCTCTACATCACGAAGCCCCTGCCACCGGGGTGGTTTCCGCAGCTCTCCCCAGGGTGCATCTAGCCCGCAGCAGCTTCCCTGGCTCAGAGCAAAAGATCTCACTGTGACTGCAGAGGAGCGACCGCCAGCCTTGGCTCCAGGACCTGTCTTGACCTGGAGTGGACAACCGCCGTGGGGAGGAAGCAGCCTCGTGCTGCCAGCAGAGGGCAGCTGACACACGTGGATCTCAGACTCGCATTTGCTTCTGGAGAATTCCAGATGGCCACACTGTGCCCCCAAGCCGCTTAGCTGTGTGTGTGTCGAACCTTCCCTGAATTATCACAGATTTTTCTGGGATATGGGAGAGGGAGTTAGAGCATAACCCTCTGCCTGGCAGGGACAAGAAGACATCACTTCCAGCTTGGCCAACATTTTGGCAGAGGGTTCCAGCTCTGCCCCAGAATTCTCAGACCTGCCTGTGATTCCGTGGTCCCCTCCTGCTGCTGTGTTAGAAGAACCTCACTGTCTAGACTTTGAGTCACCGGGGCCGCTAACACTGAGGAGCGATAGGATTTCAGCTTCTGGGGGATGCAAAAAGACACTTCCCACCGAGGACTCCTCACCTCTCCACGTGGTCAACGTTGCCTGCCACGCCCAGCCCCCCGAGAGTGTAAATCTTCCCGTCGTAGACGAGGCTGTTGTGCCGACATCGTGGCACGGTCATTCTGGAGACCAGGTTCCAGTTATCCAGCAGGGACATGTAGCACCAGACGTCGGCCAACGTCACCCCCGATTCCATCCCACCTGCAGGCAGTTGAGGGGCACAGAGACAGGGGCTGAAGGAGGGCGCGGAGGTGGCAGGCCCAGCCCCAGGGTCCGGGCCCCTCTGGGAAGCCCTGTACCAGCCCCTGCCGCGCGCCAGGGCCTCACCTGAGAGGTAGATGTTGTCCCCGGCGCTCACTGCACTGAAGAACTCGCGGTCGTAGAAAGGCAGCGAGGCCAAGGGGTACCACTTGTTGTTCTGCGGGTTCCAGCAGGTGACAGCCACCAGCGAGCGCTGGGTCATCCCCACCATCTGACGACCCCCAACCAGAACGATGACCTCGGCCACACCTGCAGGGCCACAGACGGTGCCTTTGGGGTACCTCTGGCACTGTCGGCGCCTGTGCCTGGCTCCTCTCCCAGGAACCACCCCGGCGGGGCTGACCCTCGGCACCTGCAGCTGGGTTAGGGTTAGGCTTGTCTCCCAGTACCTGCCGAGAGGCGGGGCCGGGTTCGGGGCGTCTGCATCTCCTGGCGGGCGTGGGGCAGCATGTGGTAGCGCTTGGCCTCGTTGACCAGGTCCCGACAGGCCTCCGACGACTTAATCAGCTCCTCGTTGTCCACGACGTTGAGCAGGTAGCTGGGGTGGATGAAGGGCAGGCGGACCACGGCCAGGAGCTCTGCTGCGTACTGCGGGAGAGGAGACGCGGACCTCAGCCTTGGGAAGGAGCCCACTCGGGAGTCGCAGGACAAGGAAAGAGGCTCGGCGTGTGGCTCGGACACGCAGATGCCACCCAGCCTGGCCGCGCCAGGGAGGTGAGGAGGGCGGGCAGGCGCTCCATGTGGACTGTCCACTCATCCCCGAGCCCCCGGTCCACACCCTGCCCCATCACGGCCCCTGCTCCCTGCCAGGCTCTGAGGGTGGGTGGGACTGAACCAGAGGTCATGACGCCTGTGTCTTCTGTGCCACTCACAGCTGCTGTCTCTGTTCTCTTCCAGGTGCTTCTGCCTGCCCCGAGGCGCTGCCACCCTCACCCCTTCAGGCTCACGCCCTCTGCCTCTGGGGGTCACCTCTTCTGGACCCTCTTGCCCTGTGCGGAAAGCTTCTCGTGGGCTCATCTGAATCTCCTGTGCTGTCTGACGGGCTGTGCTTATCACTCCACTTTGGTGGCACTGTGTGAACCCTTGGTGACCACTGCTGGGAGAGGAGAAGGATAGGGTATTTGGGGAACCGGAGGGGCTGCTTCTTACAGAGGCAAAGAATTTTGCGTGGGGTGCAATTTGCAGAGAGGAGCAGTGAGATGGGGGGCAGGGGACGGCAGAGCTAGGTCTGGCTAACCTTTGCCTTGCTAGCTAAGGACTGTGCGGCTTTTGCAAGGCGACCCAGGGACTAATAAAGGGCTTTAATCAGTGGTGACATGATCCGATTTGCTCTTAAGAAATAGCGCTCAGGCTACAGCCTGGAAAATGGATTTGAAGGCAGCAAGAAGGATGGCAGGAAGCCACTAGGGTGGCAGTGATGCGGGTAAGATGGGCCAAAAGTAGGCGAGGCCCCCTTAAGGGGAAGGAGGAGGCAGAAGGGAGCACTGTGGCCAGCGAATGGGCACTCGGGGGAGCGGGACACTGGCTCTGTCTTGGCCTGAAATAAGGAAGCCAGGCAACGGTGTGGACTCGGCCTGGAGAACCCTAAGAAGGACTCAGGCCACTCTGCTGGACATGCCCAGCAGGTGACAGAAGACAGAGATCCGGAGCCCCGGCTGGGACATAGGTTTGGGGGTTACAGTGTACTGTGGTCCACCGTTACCAACTGCCCAACCTAACTTCACGCCTCTGTAAAGAAGGCGTGCCCCGCTCCACTCAGTCAGTCTGAGGACACCCTTTCCCTGGCTCACAGGCTAGGCCAGGGAGACACCTAGGCAGCCTGAGCTGCCCAGTCCCACTGACCCTAACGCCCCGGCTGTCCCTTCTGACCTTGCACCCTCCTGCTCCCAGTGAAACACAACAACCCTTCTGGTCCATATCAGTGGGCTCAGCTTGTCCTGGGTCACACCTCCCTGATGCTGCTCTGCCTGGGTGGGCCCTTACCTCTGGGCTAAGGTCGCCTTTCTCTATTCTCAGGGAGCACTTCCTGCAGGGGCACTCACTCCCGGGCTCCTCCTCCTGAGAATCACTCCTTTCTAAGGGCCCAAGCCAGGGCTTTCTGGAGTGGGCTGGACCCAGTAGCTCCCTGTGACTGGGGTGCTCTTCCAGAACACAGCTGTCCTTCTCCTCCTCCTTGAGCTGTCCCTTCCCAGGACCTCCAGTTCTCTCCTGTACATGTGCAGCGGTTCCATTTGGTCCACTCAGGTGCCCTCTACCTCCTTGCAGCCAGAGCATGGCGACGATGCCTGTTGGGGCTCTGAGCTGAGAGTGCTCAGCATCTCATCAGGTACCCCCCCTCCCTGTGGGACCAGGCTGCTGCCCAACCAGGCCCCACAGCCCCTGAGTCAGCCTGGGTCTTCTTCCAGGTGGCACAGCAGCTCCGGAGGACACTCTGGTGGCTGATGCTCACCTCTAAACCCTCTCCCGCTCTATATGCGGTGGTGGAGGACCAGCTTCCGTGTTCCCTGCCCAATGGCTCCCATGCCCTCCCTGCAGGTGAGACAGGCAACCCTGCCCCGAGCGCCTGCCTTCATTTCTGCTGCAGACCTCAACTCTGCAGGGTCCCTGGAACCCAGACAGAAGTGGGTGAGCACAGATGGGCCTTACCTGTGCCCGGGATGCAGGGTCTTTCTTGATCCACTTGATCACCGTCTCGTACACCAGCTCCTCGGCCTTGGTGTTGAGGCTGTCATTGGAGACGTAGGCGATGAAGTCATCCTTAGAGATGCTGAGGATCTCCTCCTGGGCTGCCACCTCGGGGAAAATTTGCAGCGCGAAGGCCTTGGCCATGTGGTAGAGCTCGCTGCACTGCATGGCCTCGGCCATGGCCAGCACACCCAAGCAGTTGCTGGCGGTCAGCTGCTTCTCTGCGGGAGAGAGTGCGGGACCACTAACTCAGGGCTCTGGAAGGGTGATCACCTCTTACTCCCTCATCACTGCTGGATCCCCCTGAGCCCATCTCCTGGCGACCCGAACTCCAGCCACCATGGTCCCTATCAGCCCCCTTCCTGTGTCCCTTATAGGTACGTCCCAGTTGCCCTGTGCCCATCCCTCTGCTCCGGCAGGCCCTGGCAGAAGGACCAAGGCTGTGAGGCATGAGCTGAGCTTCCCCATTTGTGAAGCAAGGGCTAGGGGAACCTTGGAGCCTGGGCCAGGTGTGGGGGCCACACAGAAGCTTACGGTGTCACGGGTGAGGCCACAGGCTACCTCAGGTCACATAAGGGGTGGCACCGTCACAGTGCATGGACCCATCCTCTCCTGGAATGACCCTCTAGAACCTGGCCTGCTTTCTGAGATCTGGCCAATGGCTCTTCCAGCCGAGACACATCAGGGTCCCAGGAGGCTCCTGACTGTCCTCCCCTGAGCTGCCCCACTGAGCCCAGCCCTCAGCCTTCTCTCTCTGGATGCCACAGCCCAGGCAGCAAGCTCTTTGTGACACTTGTCCTTGTCCTTCCCTCTCCCTGCAAAATGAGCCTGCTTCAGCCTGACACCCATATTCCAGGCCTGCGCAGCAGCTCTGGCCCTCCAAGGGACTGCCCGGATGTCGAGGCAGATCCACGGGTTTCATCCACATTGGCATTTATAAGCTCAAGAGGAAGCAAATGTGAGGCTGCTTTACTCAGGCTCAGAGCCCAGGACAGGGAGGCCCCGCCCTGGCACAGCCGCACTGCCCACTGCTTTGAAAGGCCTGCAGGGAGAAGTGACTCGGGTCCCCTGAGGCCATGCCTCTGTATCAGGTCATACGAGCTTTGTGCTCCTGTGGGAACAGCGTGGCGTCGGGTTTGGTCTGTGGTCGCTGAGTGGGGACACACACCGCCCTCCCCTCTCCATCACAGCTGCATTCGCCCACCCCGGTGACACATGGGCCCACAGCAGCCTCACCGAGAAAGGACACGCAGACTTTGCAAAAGGTGTGGAACTGGAACTTGCTGGCTGCCTCCAGCAGCGTCTTGGCGTTGGCCGAGTCGATCACCAGGGAGCCGGTGTAGACGAACTCCAGCAGCAGCTCCAGCACGTCGGCCTGCAGATTAGACAGCACCAGCTCCAGCTTCTCTCGGCCGCCCTGGCTGCCATCTTGCACGGACCTAGGCACAGAAACCAGGGTGTCCTCACCTGCCACCCCCGCGGCCACCGTGCTGCGTGCTCACAGGGCCGGATGTCCCTGTACACCTCGGTCACGCCCTTCGTTTAGGAGTCAAAGGACACAGCAATGACACACCTGAACCTAGTGACCTGACGCGGGATCTGAAAGAGAAGAGTCTGACCAGAGGCGCCCAAAAGAACAGAAACCCTGCTTATCTACTCGGCATGTCCATGCAAAAAAAGATGCAAATCAAAAAGCATGAGCTGTGGATGGGGACGAGTACCAGGACTGGCCTCAAAGGGAAACAATATGGTGTCAGCACCACCTGGGCCGCTTGGCCCATCCAGGCCCCACCCACAGCCTTTGGCTCCATTGGCGGGGAAGCCAGGCTCCGGGGGCTCCTGATTGGCTGTCATCCCAGCCAATCCGGAGGCTTCCTCCAGTACCCTCCTGGAGATCCGGAAGGACCCCATCCCCACTGCTTTCCAAAAGCATATTGTTTCCTTTTAGGCATGGAAAGGAAGCCCTTCATGACATTGCTTTGAAACTGAAGACGAGACGAGATAGACGGACAGAATGGTTAGAGCTGGGAGGGGAGAAGGGGAACAACCAAGGACTTCCGCCACAGACAGCCAGCAGCCATGATGGGGGCCTGGCCCGGGGCGGGGCCCTCCTGCCACATGGAACACGGGGTCAGAGGTCAGAGGTCAGAGTGGCCTGCGTGTAGAGTGTGCGTCGGGCTTGGGAACTGGGGGGAGCAGGGGAGGGACACAAATATATCAGTATGTTTATATCTGGTGTCTACAGAAATACGAAACCATGGCAAGGGCTCCTAAGGCCTGGCAGCCGCGCCCTAAAAGCTGGACCTGGAAGGAAACAGATAAGATGAAGCAGAGACAACAGGATACAGAAGTGTGGCCAGGAGGAAGGACACCCAGAGCGTTAGGCAGGAGGGGGACTTCTCGGGAGCTGAGGCTGGGCCACTGCCTCTGAGCCAGCTTCCCGAACTGGGCCGGCCCTGCTCTGCAGCCACCCACTCGCTCCCCAGGAGGCCAGTGGTCACCTCGACCGGTCCCAGGGGTTCCCTGTGGCTGGCGAGGGCGTGGAGCAGTGGCTGGCGAGAGGGGAGGCTGGCCAGGGAGAGACAAGCGGCCTGCTGGACGAGCGGGTGACAGAGCGCTGACAAGGAGCAGAGGGACCTGAATGCCCTGCATTGCCGCTGACCAATGGGCAGTCTGGGCCTCTCGGCTTCTAGCCACTTCTGCAAGGTGAGAGGATTGAACTGGACAAGGCCTACAGTGCCATGGAGATTGACGTGACAGTGGCCGGAAAATGTCCTTCACAAGGGACGCTTTTCTACATGACAGAACCTGCACTTCCACTAGAGCAGCATTTCCTCCTGTCATGGCCTTTGAAACCCACATGCAGCCCGGCATCTGAGCCAGTGTCCAGGAGCCCCCTGGGCCCTCCCCAAAGAACAGCTCACCTGTTGGGGGGCCCTATGGAGCATTCTGCAGCCCAGCTCTACGCAAGTGTGGAAGCTGAGACAGCAAAGGTACAGACCACACAGGTCTGGGCAGAGGCCCACCCCGCCCAGTGACTCCTGAAATGGATAAGCACACCTAGTCTTCTGCTGTCTGAATGGATTCCCACACTTGGGTGGCTCTATGTGCTCACTTGAGATCACAGCTGTCTGGCTGCTCCAGGCCTCTCATCATCATGCCCATCATGCCCTGTGGAGGTCCTGTGGGTTACTGTCCAGCAGGGCTGATGAGGTCAAAGCTGGCTGAGTATCTATTCCTTCTCCCAAGTCTCCTAATAGACTGCTGTCTCCACCACTGGCCAGTCTGGCTGTCCTCCCAGGAGCCCTCGGCCTGAGGAGCTCATGCCAGCAAAGAGCTGAAGTGGGACTCCAACACACACACACACTCACACCCCACCATGCGTGCACACACATCGCAGAAGAGCACATGACCCTGGCCAATCGATGGCCCGACCAGCATAGATGTCCTGAGGGATGCTTCCTGTCTCATTGAGAGTCTGGGCCAGGGAAAGGCCTTGGCACAGGGAGGCACCTGCACAGCTGCAGAGCACTGAGCTTATCAGGACTGCAGGAACTGAAGAGCTTGGCCCGTGCTGTTAAGGTGGGAAGCCTGGCCATAGAATGCACAGTCGTGTTTCTGCTCCCATCTGGTAGAAGAGGCCCCTGCAGCTGACCTGCAGGGAGTACTTCTGTTGTCTGGGGCTGGAAGAGCAGACCGTCCTACCTGACCATGGAGGAACACTTGGGAGCATTAGGGAGGCTTTGCTGGTGGCCGAGTTCAAGGTCTGGCAGAGGCAAGGCCCTGACAGCCAGGTCTGTGCAGCTCATGGGCACATCCGTCAGGTCTACACGGGTGCTGATGTGTGGCCAGGAGAGCCAGGAAGGCTGAGGGAGGCCGACAGGGACTCTGTCCTGTCTCACTACTGATCTTCATGTTCCTTAGGTGTCATCTCTCTGAGCAGAGGTACCATAGGATCAGCGGTTGCCTGATGGAGGACACCGATCCCTAATAATCTCCACTGAGAGCATTCTGTCCCTGGCTTTAGCTGGTTCACAGGGTCAGCCCCATGGGGTGACTTGGGGAGCTACCTGTTCATCAGGATCCTGGTACAGCTGTGGGGGGCTGGGCAGCAGGGCAGGGACAAGGAGCAGCAACCGTGTCTGTGCTCTTGACCTTAGAGGCATATTGTGGATTGAAAACTGGTGGTCAGCTTAACAGCAGCTGAACTGAATGGGTGTAGTGCTGGGCGTGGCTGACCCACCCACCTGAGGACTGTTGCCAGCATAAAAAGAGCCTTGGAGAGGACCGTGCATGGCTTTCTGGGTTCTTCTAAATGTGGCTGTTGTTTGGAGACGCTGGTTCTCTGTGGGGGATCCTGCCCTGCTGGTTCTCCTGATACGAGCTGTTATCATTGGAGGAGCTCGGGACCTTGTTGCTGAAGGAGGCTGTGGTTCACTTTGAGGGAGCTCTGGTTCTTTCTTTGAGCATCGATTTCTGGCTCTGGAAGGGAAGATGTGTGCTGTTTAATCTCCAGGAGGAGCTTGTTATGCAGGCTTCCGGATATGCACTCGACTGTTCTCATCGTCAGAGGGGCTCGGAGGACCTTGCTGTCACTGAGGATGGCTGGGGTACTTTTCAGGGCGGCCCTGGTCCTTATTTTGATCATCGCTTCTTGGCTTCTCAGCCTGTTAGCACAGATCCTTCACCCCGATGACATAGACTTCTTAGCTTCCACCGCTGACCTTTGGGCCTTCCCTGCACAGATCTGTGGGATTTTCTTGCATGGGTCATTGTTGCGGGCTCTACATTTTCACCTGAATTCATGCAGGTTACTGCCATGGGATCCAGGCCCTCGGCTGGATTCTCTAGGTCTTTGGTGTGTGGACAGATTTCCTGCACTTCTTGTATTTAACTTGGGTAACTATTACAAAATAATACATAAACAATGTGTCCTGTATTGTTTGTTCTCCTTGCAGCCCTGTCTACAGCAGGGTGGAAGCGTGGAGCTGTGGCCCGCATGGTGCCCAGGGCTTCTGTCTGGACTAGAACTTCCTAGAGCTTCCTTCTCTCAAGACAGCCTGGCCTGGATGGAACTGCTCAGCGGCGCTGGGCTGTGGGTGGGTCAGGAATACGTAGGTCCAGTCTGCAGGATGTGGGGAGCCCCACCATTACTGGTGGGCTCCTGTGAGTGTGGGCATCTCTAGAGAGTCCTCATGCCCTCTCTCTCCACTGTGGTCAGAAGCTTAGATCTCATACACCAGAACAGAGCACCATCTGAGACAAACTGGTGGCAGGTGAGAGACAGGAACCTGCAGGTGGTGGCCATGGCTGGCACCCTGTTCTGCCCTTTGGCTGCGGTTCCCTGCCATGCCCTCAGCTCCAGGGCATGGCACACAGCGCTCCCTGGGTCCTGTGCCTGGGCAGCTCCTTTTGAGAGGTGGTGTCACCTGGCTTCTGTTGTCCTGCTTTTATTGGAGAGGCGAGAATCCTTGGCTCATTGGCTGGTTTTTAAGCCACCCCTGTCTGTTGCACCAGAGACAGGGTGCTCGCTTCTCAAGGAAGGGCCTGCACAGTGAGCCTCTTGACTGGCGTTTTGGGGGCCCCATACCACTCCCCACCCTCGCTTCCCTCTCATGGCTGGGAACGAGAAGCCGAGAGCTCGGGAATGGAGCTTTGTGAAAGTCCTTCTAGAAACCTCAGCTCACTTCCTTTTCTGTTTTCATTCAATAGGAAAGGAGCGCAGAATCCAAGTGGCACGCATGTTCAGCAGCCTTCGGGAGGTGAGGGTTTCCCTTGAGAGAAGAACGCAAGTTCACATCTCTGTCCCTTTGGGTGTGATGAGAGGCAGGCACCCCTGTGTCTGGGCATTTCTCTCACACCCAGCCCAGGTGAGGGCTGAGGGACCCGCTGATGCTATTTAAGAACAGCACCCCAATCTCTGACGGGGCCAGGGAGGGCACAGGCATCACGTCTGCAGCAGCACGTCTGTGGCATTATGTCTGTGGCAGCGTCTTCTGTGGCATCTGGCCATCGCTGAGAGGTGGGCCCCAAAAGCAAAGCCAGGGCAGAGCTACATCCTGCTCCCTGTGAATGTGAAGGGACTTGGGCCGGGGGCCACCCCCAGGGCCTGGGTGCAGGTCGGGGTAGCTGCGTGTTCCTCTTGCCTGTAGCTTTCTTGGGGCTCCTGGGCTTCCAGGTACTCCTGCAGGTACCTGCCGTCTCGGGGAGGGGTTCTTCACACACTCGTGTACACACGTGCGCACACACACACACACACACACACACACACACACACACACACAGCGTATGCATGCTTTTCCTCGAGTCCCTATTCCTGGGGTCTGCTTCACTTTCCTGTCTCACCCACTGCACAAGAATGAAAACACATATTTGTTCTCTGGATGGCAATGGATAGTAAGAGCACCAGCTTGGAGTCAGGCTTCAGCTTGCTCTGCTCATCACTTAAGCTGATCATGAGAACATTTTTGGCCTCAATTTCCTCATCTGTGAAATGGGGATACTAACAGTACTGGTTCTTTCTGTAGGGTGACAGCTCTACCAGGCTCCTGTCCATCAGGTGGTGCCCTCATCAGAGAGGAAGACAAGGAAGGACTTGGTAGGGAGCCACTGGGGCCTCCCTGGTGCAGAAAGAGCCGGGGCCCTCAGCCACTGAGCTGAAAGGGATGCAGCCACCAGCTAGGAGGCCACACTGATGACCACCTCTCAGCTCAGCCTCACCTGACAGCCTGACCTCAGCACATCAGGGTGAAATGCTTCACTGCCTCTACGCACACCCTGGGGCTCCAGGCATCTACTCGGAGGATGGGGCGGGGCGGGCACTGCCCTTGCAGGGCTCAGTGCTGGGTTTGTCCTCTCTGAGCCTGCAGGGACACACACATGTCCCAACTGAGGCTGGAAATAGGAAGGGATCTAGCTTGGGGCTCTAGGTTTGGAGTCCTGTGACAGGAGAAAAGGGCCGCCCACGGCAGGTCAGTGCTGGCGCCTATGTCAGGCCCAGGACTCTGTTCCCCTGCTGCCCCCTGCTTCCTCCTCTTGGAACAGTGCGGCCCCTTTGAGGAGTGGCCCTGGACCAGGTTCCCAGGCTCTCCTGCAGGGATATTTTGGTTCTAGAGTCACAGATAAGAAGGGGACTGAATGTAGTGACCACATCAGCTGCTCTAACCAGGGAGAACGTGAAATTTTCAGTGACTTTAATGGCCTGAAATCTTCCTGTAAAGACCGAGGCTTTTGTTTGCAGTGATCAGCACCAACAATGTTCGTGGGTACCCCGGTGCCGGGATCAGGGAAATGAACTGGCCAGAGAACTAACACTGTGAGCTGTAGCCTCAGGGCACCACAGCTCAGCCTCTCCTGCGCTGGGCTTCCGGGTGACCCCCCTGCATGCTGAGGGCCCCTAGACCTAGGCCCATCTGGTCAGTTACCAGGCCTGGACACTGTGGGACTTGGCTGTCCTTCGAGATGCTAAAGCCACACCTGCCAGCTGCCCCACTGTTCATCTATGACCCCTGCCAATCCTGCATGGGTCTGTGGACCTGATTTCTAACCTCGGATCCTCTGACCTTTGTCGTCTCAGGTCCTGGCGTTTATACTTGGGCAACCTCTTCAGGGTGACTCTGCCCATCCACTGACTGTCGCGCAAGGGTGATGGTCAACATTTCACCACTCCTGGTTTACAGATGGGAAGAACTGCAGGCTTGAGGTCATAGGGCAAGTGTCAGAGTCAGGGCTAGGCTTGGATCTCTCGGCTTTCTAGGGGGCCCTCTCCCACCCCGTGAGTGCCAAGCACCCCTCCTTCCACTGGGCCCTGGAGCTGCCTTCCTCTGTTCTCTCACCTCCAAGAGGGTGGCTCCTACCAACGCTCAGACCAAACCAGGGCGCTTGGGCTAGCTCAGCTCAGCATCTGCCTGCTTAAGCTCTCCTCGGCCTCTGGGGAGGCCACCTGTCCCTGTTCCTGGCGTCTCCCTGTGTCTGTCCCCACCCTCTTTGTCTGGAGAGTTTCGCCTCTTCTCAGCCTGTCTAAGTGGCCTCTCACCTACCAGGGCCCTTTGGTTTCAATAGGAGTTCAAGGTTTCCCTTGCCCAGCTCATTCTAGCCTGGGGCTGGGATTGTGTGCTCAGCACCGCCCACTGCTTTGTACTCTCTCTCAAGGCCTCAGGAGCTCACCCAGGTGCTGGTCCCTGCAGATATGCCAAGAGCGGAAGCCCAAAGATCTCCCAGGCCCAAGGAATCCACTGGATGTGTCCCTGCGGCCCGGACTCATGGCTGTACCCCTTGTGCTTGGGCAGAAAGGACCCAAGCACCGGGGGCAGGAGAGCCAAGCTGTCTACCAGACAGGATATCACCAAGAGCCTGCCCCTCCTGCATTGCTGGGCGACCTGGCTCTATGCCCAAGGATATCACAGATCAGAAAGGAGATGCCAGCCAGTGTACTGTCCTGAAACAAAACACAGTCGCTCAGGGGTTAGTTGGCAAGTCCAAGCACAGCACTGGGAAGCCAGCAGAGGTCCTGTCCTCCTACTCTGAGCACTGTCCTGGCTCAGCGTCGCCCCGGAGAGGCTGCAAGGCAAAATGAGCAGCAGCATTAATCGGCTGATGGGTGAGAGAGTTGTGAGCATTGCCCTGGGCTGGCCCCGCAGCTGCTGCCCCTTGCTTGGAGCTAGGAGGTGGCCCTGACTACCTTGCAAGGGTGTGAAGCAGACAACTTGTAAAAAGAAAAAAAAACATAATGGAAAGAAAAACAGAACAAAAACGATGCCCACGCACCATTTAAGACTCATCCAAGTAGAAATAGCTGGGCAGGGCCAGGGCCGGGTGGAGGGAGGACAAGGCTGAGTGCCGTGTTTAGGACACGCCTGTGCACACTCAGCATGCTCTGGGCTCAGTGCCCGGGGAGGAGACGGGTAGGGTGCGTGGGGCTTTGCTGTGCCGCTCTCCTCCGACTCAGACCAGGGAAAGGTGGCCTCTGGGCGCCGTGCTCCCTGGCAGGGATGGTCTGGTTGACATGCTCTCCTGGTACTAATTCACCTCGGATGGCAGAGACAATGCTCTGGGGGTCCCTGAGCTGGCCCCAAGGGGCAGTGTGCAATGGTCTCTTAGGATGAAGTTTCTAGTCCTCTGCAATTAGGGAGGCCTGTGAGCCACTGAGAGTGTGGGGTCCGGGGCGGGGCGGGGCGGGGTGACCTGCAGGCCGTGTGGGGCGGCGGGCAGTGGCTGCTCTGAGGCTGTGTGTGAGAGGGCGCTGGGTGGGGGGGGAGGAGGAGGAGGAGAGATGGCTACTGGCTCTGTGACAGGGAGTCACGCATCAGGAACCTGCAAGAGAGGGGAGGAGAAAAGCAACACACAAGCGTCCTACAAAGGAACAGACCCGACCACAGCTGGAAGGAAGGCAAACCTTTGAATCAGGTCCTTGAAATACAAGCTGCAGGAAGCTAGAACATTTTGGTGGACTTCAAACTCTCTGCCTTCAACAACAATTTTCAGGTCTGTAAACGCTTTCGCTCTGCGCTGCTGGTTCAATTCCTTCAACATTTCTGCAGAACAGAGAAGACAGACAGGGCCAGGTTCCCATTAAGAGGTTTTTTTTTTTAAATTAAATTTTTTTTCAAGAAGTAGAGAAATAGAAAATACTTGATATTGTTTCTTGGCAAGACTGGCTCAACACTGACAATCAAAAGAAGTCACAAATGTAATACATAAACAAGCAGCCACTGGGAAGGGCTACATAACCGAAGGAATCACAACTTAATAAAGCAAAAGAAAAAAATCCCGAACAAATAAAACAAAACAAAACAAATATGATTTAAAAAATACCAAACCCAGAAATTGGAAACTTGCGAGGAGAGATTCCCATGTTGACAATTGGAAACATAGAAGATACGGTATCACAGACAACTAAAAACTTCTAGAACTACGGAGCGAGCTCTCCAAATGCCAATGGTGCCGATGTATTGGATACCAAGTAAAGCATGGCATTGTGATGCAAGATGGGCTGGTCATGGTTCAAAGGAATCAAAACCACAAAACCTGCAGACACAGCATCCCTTCCGTTAGACACTCACAGCCATGGTGTGGAGCGAGCTTCCAGAGAGGGGACGCCAGGAGGAGGGGGCCTGGGAGAGGGCCTGGGAGGCGCCTCCTTCAGGCCACGCTTTCCGGCCTTGAGGGGAAACAAGCAAGCAAGGGACTGTTCTCTGGACTGTCCCATTTCCTGGACCGCCTCTCAGGACGCCCACCCTTGCCTGTGGGTTTCACAGCTGGCAGCTGCTTTGCTGCCCTGAAGGCCGCTGTTGTGCACCTACCTTTGCCTGGAATCTTGGCCACCAGACTTGGGGCTGGCACAGACAGAGGTCCGGCCAGCAGGCTCTGCCCTGGCAGTGTCAGAAGCCTCTCCCTGGACCTACCTACCCCCTGGCTTAGAGGGAGAAGGAGAGAAGAGCCTAGAAGCTACACTGCTTGGTTTATAGACTCTTTGTTTTGCAAACATTCGGCCTCCAGATGACCAACGTGCCCAGCCTTGCCTCCCTTCCTCCTGGAGCCTGGGCCACACCTGCACGTTACTAGCCGCTGGACACGGGAGGCCCAGGTCCCTGGGTAGAAGGATCTGCCCAGATCTACCTGAGTAGATGAGGGGGAGATGATGGCCTGTAGGGCGGAACCCCACTCCTCAGGCCCCCTGCACTCACCTCAGGCCCTCCAGGTCCATGCTAAGCCCCAGCTGGTATTCAGGAATGACCCATGCCCTGCTTCTGCCTGATGGCACCTGGGGCCAGCGCTGGTTACCCACTGAGACTTAGATACCTGGTGTGTCCTTGCAAGACCCCTGACCCCTTGGGACCCTGCTGTGCGTTTCTAACAGGGACTGAGGCTCCTGCCTGTGTGAGCGCAGAGTGCAGAGGGGCTGGTGCCTTGGCCCTGCTCAGGGCTTTGGGCCTTCTCCCTAAGGACACTCTGGGCCCTGGGCTGTGCTGAAGACCAGGGAAGGTGGCCCTGGAGAACACCCTGCCTTGCGGGATGCGGGGGAGACACTGGAGCAGTGTGACCCCTGCCTTCTGGGAACCACAGACTGACCTGGAGCCATGAAGGGCATCCAGGGTGTGGTGGGGGACCATGCTCAGACCTGGAGCAAGGGTGGGTGCTCCAATAGAGACCAGCAAGGCATGTGGAGGGTACCGGGGCCACTCCCAGGCTGGCAGAAGGGCTGGCTTCCAAGAGCTTTGCCATAGGAGCTGAGCTTCATTGGGAGGCGGGAATACAGGGAGGTTAGATGTGGATTACACACAGGCAGGACGGCACCCTGCCGAGACCCAGGCCTCAGCTCCACACCTCAGTGTGGGCCTGAGTGCTGCCTCGGGTCAGCTGTGAGACCTCGGGAAAGCAAACCAGCACCTCGGAGCCCCGCATCCTCCTCTCTGAAGGTTAGTGAGAGTTTGAAGCAACCCGAGAGCCACACACCTGGCCTCCCAGGGCAGGTTCGAGCCTTGGCTGGTGGTGCCCTTCTCATGGTCCAAGCACGACTTGGGAGCACAAGGACAGCCAGAAGGAGGAGCAAAGAGAGGTGAGTTTGGGGTGAGCCTGTGGGTCTCGGGGAAGGGGCAGGAGGAGAAGGGGCTAGCGGCTTGGGTGGCCATGGGAACCAGTGGGTTATGGCTCTGGGTGACAGCCTGCGGGCGCAGAAGCTCGGGGTGACAGCTGCGGGATGCAGCTACCTGCCCTGCTCACAGCCCGGCCTCCACAGGAGCCTCCAGCTAAATTAGTTCCCCTGCCAGCAGCCCGATGGATGATGCCACCTTTCTAAACAAATGTGTGTTAGAATTCCAGGCCTGAGTTCCAAGGACCCGGATCTTGGTTCTTGTTCTGGCTCCGCCACTAAGGGGTTGTGGGACCCTGGGTGAGTGGCCCCAGTCTGCCAGGTCTCGGTTCCTGTAAGCACCAAAGGACAGGGCTCCTGTCTGTGGCCTCTGGTGGCCCCCACGCTGCAGTGCGGGACAGATGTGAGCCCCTGTGCTTGCTGAGGGGGACAGGCGAACTCAGCAGGGCCTTTGGGGTGGTGCCCTGAAGACGTGAGCAGTGCCCTGCATGTCAAGGTCCCTGCAGTGACTGTGTGAGTCCCAGCCCTGCATCAAGGCTGGCGGCTCCCAGAATCCCAGCCAGGTTGGGCTGCTGCGTGCATGGAAGTCAGGCTTTGCCACCCTCCTCAAGGACACTTTCTGCTCTCTGCCACTCTTTCCCTTTCCCGAAATTTGGATTTAATAGTTGGGCAGGATTATTTACTTCCAGAAGAATTTTTCAATTTATGAAAGTGCTCACCGGGGGATTCCTTTTCACAGCAGGCCCCAGGGCATTCGAAGTATCGATCAGTTGGTGTGTGCTCACTGCTGCCTGCGGCGCTGTTGGGGAGGGTGGGCCTGCAGGCCGGGCTGTGGGAGCGGCCCTGAGCCCACAGGCAGAAGCCAGGGCCTGCTGGTGTCTGGGGCAAGCTGCTGTCCTTCCCACCCCCTCTGGCAAAGGGCAGCCCTTCTTCTCTGAGGAGCCTTCGGGGGACACCTCCCAACAGGCAGAGCCTCCAGGGACCCTGGCTTGGGAGTCGGCTCCCTCCAGGCCCCTGCACCCTTAGCATTCAGCTGCTCCGGGCTTGGCTTCTGGAAGAGGGGATGAGACCCTCTGGGCCTCCCCAGCAAGGGCTTGGGGTGCAGTGAGTGAGTGGCTGGCCAGCCTGGGGGGACATAGCTTGACCTCCAGGTCCCTCTCTGCAGGCTGATATCAGGGTGTGTTTTCCAGTCCCCTTGGCTTTGAGCAGAATGTCCTGCCCCCCATCCCTACAGGACCTCATACCCTGGCCTTGCCCTCAGAAGCAGCTGCTCTCTGCGAGGAGCGCCCTGGTAGAAAGCTCCTGACTGAGGCTAAGCTGCCACCCTCTTAGGCCAGTCTGGGTCCCTGTTTCCAGCTGGTCCCCTCTGAGCCACCTCTGCATCGCCATTCCTGGGGCACCCGGCTACCAGCCCTGCACACAGGAACTCCTCAGGGCTGGGCAACACAGCCTCCCCTGGCCCTAGATTGTCCTTCATTTCCCAGAGTGCTCTTCGCTCCCCGGGAAGCCTCCTAACACCCTCTCCGAGTCTCGGTCCCCTCTGCCTGGAGCTGTCTCCTTCCTTCTTCCCCTGCCTCATCCCACTTCTGGGGTGGGAGGGTCCAAGCCTTCTTGTCTTCCCTCCTCTCCCACCCACTCCCTGGCCCTCTGCCTTCTCGGCACACCCCACAGCACCCTGTGCCGTCTCCTTCACACTGTGCTATGGATTGTATTTATTTACTTGCATATCTGCCTCCTGTACTAGACTGGGTTTTGTTCATATTTTTATCAGCAACCCCTCCGCTCAAGGGCTGGCGTGTGGTAGCCTGCAACATCTCTCTACAGTTTCCCCTGTTAGGAGACACAGGTGGTTTCCCCACTGTTTCCACTATGGCTGGCCTTGTGATTTGCTTTGGACCGTGGAATGTGGTGCAAATGCCCTTGTGTGAATGTCAGCTACCACCTCATAAAGCGTAGCTTTGCCTGGAGACCCTGGCTGTCACCACTGTGGGAATGTGCCAGGGCCAGCCTTTTGGAGAAGGAGCTCCTATGTGGGGCAGAGATGAATTTTTAGACTAGCCAGCCTCTGCTAGGATCAGTGCAGACTGAGCCTGCCCAAACTGCCAAACCAGAAGCATAATTTGGATAGCTGGTTGTTGTTTTAAGCCACTAAGATTTAGAATTTTTTTTGTTACATGGTAAGACTAACTGATACAGAAGATAGGAATAAGTATTTAGAGAGCTTTCTCTGTCAGTCTCTTCTTTGCCAGTTTGGTTTGAAGCTAATGCTGTAAAACTGTGATGCAATATGCCATCTTAACCATCTCTGAGTGTACAGTGCACGGGGCAGGGGAGGTCTCTCCATCACACTTTCTGTCTCTGTGACTCTGACTGCTCTGGTTACCTCCTGTGCAGGGAATCATAGAGTATTTGCCCTCTTGTGACTGGCTGATTTTGTTTAGCAAATTGTAGCATGGGTCAGAATTTCCTTCTTTTTAGGTCTGAACGATAACCCACATTAATGTTCATCTATTCAACCATGGATGGACCCTGGGGTGCTGCCACCATAGAATTACTGAGACTCATGCTGCTGCTCTGGGCTCATTCTGACCCCAGTCCTGGGGGTCTCTTTCCCCATAAGTGCCTGGTGTGAAATGGTACTGTGGACCCAGAAGCAGGGGCGAGAGGGGGACACTGGGGAGAGTCTGCCTGGGGCCGGCGCTCTGGCTGGAGAAGGCCACAGGTGGCGCCATGACTGGAGATGAAGTTACAGCCCGACTTCTGCATATTTTTCATCCAGCAACACAAGTTATTTGTCAGAGACTAATGGGCTCGTTCCAGCTGGACTAGAAGGGCTGTCCGCGGTGGAAATAAAGAGGAAGAGATGTCAAATATTAAGAGGCAAAGAATTCCAGTGGCTTTGCAGTCAAGAAGTCCATTAAATCAGAGCCCCGAGAAAGGTTG